TCCCTAAAGCTGTTCGAATTGTGTGAAACTCCCTAAAGCTGTTCTAGAGTAGGTGGCATGCTAGAGGTGCTAATAACATGTGCCTTTTCAAGAACAAACTCCACCCACCATTCGTATGTTTTGTGATTTTTGGGGCTATGGACAAAGAAATGGTACATATGGTCCCTATAATGTGGATCATTGATTGAACCCAGTATCATCCAATAGTCCAAAAAGAATTTCATATTTTATTTTAACCTTTATTTAAAAGGTGCGGTTTCTGTAAGATTGCAACCAACACACCTTAAAATTTTATCATAACATATAATTTTCTTGTAAAATATATGAAACTATTGAAAATAGACGGTCTAAATAATATGTTGCAAGATGCACTATTTTCAAGACTCTCAAAAGTTTTTATATCATATTCATACATCTCGATGTTGAGATGATCGATTAGAGGGTGTTTTCAACATTAAAACAATATTTTCAATAGATTTTTGAGGTGCATATGTGATTCTACATTTTAAAGTTGCAACCTTATTAAAACTTAAACCCTTATTTAAAAACAATATTTCTATAATTTGGGGCATTGATGTATTTTTATTTGGCACATAAATAAAAATAAAAATAAAAAGAAATTTAATAAAAAAAGGTCAACCAAAATACTTCTAAAATAATTTAAGGATATTTGGCCAACTTTTGTTCAAAGTATTTTTTTTTATTTTTATTTAATTCAAAATATAAAAATTCATGTATAACATAAATTTTAAATAGATATGATTTAAATATTTTTTAATGGAGTGCATACTCCATTCCATTTATATGCGTTTGTCTGAAACGCATCAGAATGAAAATACTCTCTCAACACATCAAAGATTTTCGTCTACCTCTCTGTCTTGCTCTCAGAAGCACGTCGAAGATTTTCATACACCTCTCTCACACATTTACAAATTTCCTCTCTCTCTCTCAACCACATCAGAGATTTTCATATGCATCTCTCTCTCTCACCAGAAACACATCAGAGATTTTCATATGCCTCTTTCTTTCTCTCTCTCACATGCGTGCGTGTGCAGGCACACAAAACACACAGAAACACATCAGAGATTTTCATATACATCTCTCTCTCTCTCTCACAGTAACACATCAGAGATTTTCATATACATCTCTCTCTCTCAGAAACACATCAGAGATGTTCAAATACATCTCTCTCTCACTCTCTCTCAGAAACACATCAGAGATTTTCATATACAACAGCACTCGAGCATTGACTTCCCTATTCATACCAGTCACATGAAATCATAAATTCACATGGGTCTCTCTCTCTCTCCAAGTACCTGCCCTAGCCTCTCCAGTTATCTTTCTTCTGCCTCAACTCCGTTAGAGCTTCAACTGGTGAGCTATAACCCAGATGCGCCTACATAGAAACCACTTAGCATTGAAAAAAAATCCCAAACCATTGTAAAGCAAAGAGATCAAACATCCAACCAAGTACGAAATAAACAACCAAAAGACACATAACTTGTCGCATAAAACTAGAGGCACCCCATAAACCAAGAAAAACTGAACCTGGATCACTTCCAATTAAATCATGGAAACCATGCGAAATTTTTTGTACTCCCATATTGATGTCGTCAGATTTACCTGGAGTTGAGGAAGATCAACACGCATAAATGGGTTGGTCTCGAGCTCGTCCTCAATTGTCGAAGGGATGGTTGGCTCGTTGGCCTTGCGTTGCTCCATGGCCCATGCAAGCTTCTTTTCTATCCTCTCATTCTCTGGCTCGACAGTTTTCGCAAATTGCAGGTTCTTTACTGTATACTGATAAAACACAGGTAATTAGCTATGGATGGGCAAAAGTCTTGACCATCAAGCTTCATAAAATAAATGAGCAGGATTCTCGTGCACAAGCTTCGCATGTAAATCAATTTGAATTGACATTTGAATTTTGTAAAAGACTGTCTCTCTCTATGCCTCTCTCTCTCTGAACAAACATCAAGAAAGAGTATGCTGCGGACAAACTAACAATGGATAATAAAAGGATGCCATATAATAACAGGAAAAGAATGAAAATCTTACCTCATGGCCACAGTAAACTCGAGTAGGTTTTGGCAAAGAACCCAATGTCACACACAATGACTTATACATCTGGTCTGCAGTGCCTTCAAAAAACTTTCCACAACCAGCTACAAACTGCAAATAATGAAATCAAGTAGCAAGAACAGCATTACCATAGTCCTCAATGAACAATTAAAATAGGAAAACAAGATGGAAAAGCCCTATCTCACATGAAAACAAATTACTTGACCTCTTGTTTTTTTTGTTTTTTTGGCAAGCTTTCTATCTGTCACTATGCACATATAACTTATATATGTTACGAGAACGATATCTATTCGATCTTGATAGGATTGCTGGGAGTAACCCGATAATAATGCCACACATTACTCATGGCTTTACATGAACAGCTCGAGCTAATTTGTGACACGTCAGCTCATTCTCAATAGTCCAATCAAGATCAGGCGGTGGTTTGTCTCAAGACACATATAAACTATACGTGTAGAGACACATTAATGGCTTCCCTTTTTTCCTGAACTTTTAAGAAACTGCTTAGACCTTAAAAATGCAAAGTGTATCATGAATCCATCTTCATAACTTACCAATGTATCCCCAGTGAAAACAGCTTGATCATCATCCTCTTTGCTTGTTACAAAATAACTTATATGGCCTTTGGTGTGGCTAGTAACACCAAATTCATAGGAAAGTCAATCGTATAAGGCAAAAGTTGTTACATGATGTGCAAACCTTATACTATAGAACCAAATTTCAAAGTCTAGCATAAAAGGAAAAGTATATACAAGGCGTCCTCATACTATAGAAGTGAAGTACACCTAAAAAACCATTTGTAAAAGGTTGTCCGAATGCTGGAAACCCCATAGTTGATCATCTCGGCCTCAAGATGTTTGGATATAAAAAAAAGGATTCAGATATTAAAAATAGTGCATGTTGTAACACATTATCTGGATTGTCCATTTTCAAGATTTTCTAGTATTTATAGATCTGCTTGAACACTACCATTTTTAGAGCTTTAAATTTCATAATTATGGGTAGAAACATATTTTCAAGTCAATATAAGAGTTTTCAACACTAGATTTGCATCTTCCAGCAAGGTTAGGAGGTGCTACTTGCTTTGATTGTTTAAAGTTGGCACCTTATATAAACTGCACCCTTCGTATAATGTTGTAATTAGTTGTGTTTATTATACTTTGTCGTCATTTAGTATAATACAGATAGGGAAGAAACACATCAGCAAAGCAAAACAAAAAAGTGTGTTGGTTTTTTGTTAGGAAAAAAATTCTCTCTTCAATGAATTATCATGACCAGGGAAAAAAAAAAAAGAACCCAAAGCTGCAACCGACTATACATATAATACTACAAAATAAGAGTCAATGAATAATGATATCTAATAAAAATCACTGTGGCACTGAAGAAACATGCGATAAATATTAGGGCAGATCAGTCAAACTGTCAAACAAATAGTGAAAGCTTCATGTCCTGGATCAAAACTTCAGAGCTACAACAATGACCTTTGTGAAGAGAATTTTGAAAAGGATTCAGAACACCACATAAGCTTGAACAGATTTGAAAAAAAAGCAACTTAAATTCGTTAACATCAACTTGCATTCTTCATTGACAACATCATTTCATTAAGTACAAAATCAGTATACAAGTATCAGCATCACATGTAAAACAGTTAGCCTTTATCTTCCTGGGTTGTTTGTTAAACTCAAATCTTACCTGTTTATCTTGAGTAAAACAAGCTGGTGGTAACTAAAGATCCTCTATGTGAAGTCATACTACTAAGTACTTTGAACAGTTTCTTTTTATTCTTTTTTTCTTAAAGAATGATTGAGAAAATTGAGAATTGGTAAGAATTCTAGACAAAAAGAAACAAGAAAACCGAACATACCATTGATACAGGCCAGAGTTCAAAAACTAAGCATGTCCGACTTGGACTCAGCCAAGCTACACGGACACTACAAGCTACCGAGTATGTATCCCAAACCATGGGAACTGATTGAATCCCACCATTTCCCAGTACTTTATTGTTAATTTTTTTTTTTTAGGACCCAATGAGTCTCTGCCAGACTCTGCAAAGTTGAGTTGCCAGACTCGGGCTTGGGATCCTAGGGAGTCCCGGCCTGAGTCCTTGCTTTAAAACACTGATACAGTTAAGACCAAATTCACGAAACATACCATGGAGTGTGAAGAGCCAAGACATTGACATCACTTCCAAAAGAGAGCTTATCACCACTTTCCAATTTATTAGTAAAACCCCTCACATTGTCCAATGCTCCCCCATAAACTTTTATTCCAGGTACCAATTCCTTTATTTTGTCATTTCCTCCAGCATGATCCCTAAGAATTTGGGTTAGGGAAAAAACATAAAAATTGTGTCAGGTATGGTATCTAATAAGAGAGAGAGAGAGAGAGAGAGAGAGAGAGATAACAAAGATATTAATAAAAAAAAATTTGTATTAGTGATAAAAGAAAGAATTCAAGCAATTGGCATGGAATATTGTTATCAGAACAATCACAACAACAATTTGAGAGCATTTATCCTATCAATGACAATTTTGAAAAAAAAAAAATTAACACTAACGCCAACATTTGCACAAGTATGAAAAATTCCCAATAAAACTAACTATGTAATAGGCCTTAGCAAAAACCATCATCAAATTTATCAATTTATTCTAATTAAAATCGATCAATTTCTCAATTTATGCCTATAAGGTGATATAAAATATATATAAAAAAAATAGAATCTTTCACTAAAATGAATCGATCACAATAAAGTATCATATCCATTAACTGTAAAAACAATTAACACTAAATTCATGATAATTCTCCACAGGAAACTCTTTCATACCAGTGATGATGAGTAGTGAGAACAAGCTTTATGTCTGCATGAACAGCTTCTGCAACTTTCAAGACCTTCTCAGGCTCAACTGGATCAACAACCGCAGCTTCTCTGGTTTTCTCATCCAAAATCCTAGTAAAACACAATCAAATAACTGAAAACAAACGAACCCACATAGAAAAATATATCTCTTCTCCTTAAATCTATCAATCATCCGAAAAACGAAAGTCAAAAAAAGGAAACAGAGCCATCAAAGGAAGCAATAACCCTAACCAGGCTAAAAAAGCAACCCAATGCCCTAATTAGAATTCAGAACTCATTCCCTAAAGCCAAAGAAGATCATATATCAATCCAGAAACCTTATTCTCCAAATAAATAAATAAGGGGGATTTGAATTGTAATTACAGATATGCGTAGTTGTCTTCCAAGCAAGGAATGTGAAGAATCTTCATTCTCTGAAAGCCCTAAAAATCGATGAAAACCCTAAAAACCTATCAATAAAGAGACTAAGAAGTGCGAGGCTCGGAGCTTCTCGGCCATGGCTTCCTCTGTTTATAGTGGAACAGAAATGTAGAGGCTTCTGATTAGAGAAACGACACAATAATTACTATTTTACCCTTTTACAAGGCAATGAAACCTCTTACCTTTGAAACTGGAGGTCACAGTTACAAAAACCTCTGCCCTTTGAAACTGGAGGTCACAGTTACAACCGTCCGATGTGAATAGCTTAGATGTGTCATAAAGGTCGAAATATTTTTTTTAATCTTTAAAATTGATCAATGAAATAAGTACAGCCACTTAATTTCACATCCCGTCAAGATTAATTAAGACCACTTTACAAATAAATTTTAAGTTTGGAAAATAATCCATCTTGAAACGTTTTTTTTAACCATCAATTTTCAAAATTTTCAAGTTTTGATAGATTCTGCTCAATCTACACTATTTTTTGTAACTTTAAGTTTTATAGTTAAAGATAAAAAAATATTTTAATGCTATCAAAAAGATTTTTAGTATTGAAACCATATTTCTCAACACTATTTGAAGGTGTGCTCTACTTTGATTGTTTAAAGCTTCGGCTTTATACAAATCGCATTTTATCTTTTATATATGAAGGTCACATTTATTATTGTCCCTTAAATTTCAAAATAGATAGTTGTAAAAGTGTCATTGAATAAAACACAAAGTTCCAACAAAAATATTTGTTGAGTTCAAAACTTACTCCAAGCCATCTTTGTGAACTCCATATATATAAAAGATAAATAATCCCTTTGTAGACAATCCTATTTTATATTTAGTGATACTACAAAATGGCAAGTTGTGTGAACTCAGGCCACACTCCAAGGCCCGTGGATGAGACTAGGACTGAATTCCATTTGAGAAGGTCGAGGTCAGGGCCAGCCCTAGTCCAATTCAAAGTGGGCTCAAGTATTAATTCCGGGCCAACCTTGGTCAATTCGTAATGGCCCAAAATAGCATATATTATTTGAGTAATGATCCTACAGTACAGGACCCTCCCCATCCATATGTGTAGGATCTCAAAATATCACTTTTAAAGTTAGCACGGATCTCTAAAAAAATTATTACATGGGTATGAACTTGATTTTTTTAAAGATCCGTGCCAACTTTAATGAGATCATTTGAATTCTACCCACATGAGTGGAGGAGGGTCCTATAAGATCATTTCTCATATTATTGATATAAAATGATTCACAAATTCAGCGTAGGAAAAGGTTTATATAAGACCTAAGCTTCGTCAGAAGCATGGTTATGAAATAATGAACTTGGAGCCCTAACAATAGTAGGGAAAATGATCCCTTACTCGTGGGATGAATGGAATTCATTATGGTTGCTACCTTGATCACTTAACCTTGAGCGCATTTTTATAAATGATAGGTTATTCTCTTAGATAACTTTAAAAAAAAAAAAAAATTTGTAATGTATTATTTGGACTGCCCATGCATATCATATATGTGTCATTTTTGGAAGTTCACCCCCTTAAAACTACAGGAAATAAATTTTTAAGTCACTATAAAAGCTTTTAATCCAAAATTGCAATTTCCATTGAGGTTTTAGGTGAAGGGCAAGATTGCACTAGGTATTATGGTCTATGACGCATGATACCAAGGTTACAATCTACAAGGAAAATGTTAAAATAACGCGTAGTCTTTATGAAAAAAAACAAAATCTCACCTCAAAACCCACCAAAAATATAGTTTCAGTGCAAGAAAGCTTTCATATCGATAAAGTTGACTTCAACAACTATGGTTGTGAAAAAAAAGTAGAATTTCAAACCTTAAAAATACTGCATATTGTTATACATCATTCAAATTGTCTAATTTCAAGTGTTCCTATATCTGCAAGATCTGTATTATTGTTTGAGCTACAAAGTTTATAACCAATGGTGGAAATAGATTTTAGAGCTATCGTAGCGATTTTCCATGTCCAAGGTATTTTATTGATAAGGTTTCAAGGTGAAGCTCTCTTTTTTTTCATAGGACCGAGGCCTCAGAAACTACATCCCAATCTATATACCATAGATTAATATGGAATACACTGAAATCCTCCTCTCTCGAATATGAAACTTTCTGCTCATTCTCTCTCTCCCCATTGAAAAGCCTCCTCCAGCCCTCTCTCTCTACCCTACCTCCTGCCTCCCCCTCTCTAGCTCTAAGTCCCCACCAAAAGGTAGAAGCCTTTTGCTTTCTGTTATGTTCCCAAAATTGATGAGTGAACCAATTCAATATAACCCATGCTATTACATGGAATGTTATGGTGTTGTTGGGGACAAAGACACAAAATGTATCTATTTTGAAGAAGCATTAAGGTCGTTTTACACTAAAGGGTCATGACCCGGTGCTGGTCGTGCCTACACAAGGTTCCAAGGGAGGTGAGCTGAAAACAGTTTTAACCTTTGACTTTTTATGCACAACATAGCCGCTCTCAGGACTTAGATCCACGCTCTTGCGCTTACTGAGCCTTTTACCGCAACACCAAGTGACGACCCCTTGAACGTTTTATAATGTCCTATGAAAATTAGGAGTTATTTCAAAGTCGTATAATTGAGAAACATTGTGCTTATAAAAATTCATTTGGCTAGGCCAGGCCTGAACCCAGCCCGATTCATTTTAGGACCAAGTTGGCTTTGGCACCGGCCTTAATGGTATTGTTGAGCTGGGTCAGGGTCTAGCCCGAATATGAGAGTTTGGATTAGGGTTGTGCCTGGGCCTAGGCAAAATATTTGAGCAGGGCTGTAAGAAATCCTCCTGTTGAGCATAGAATTAGATTTCAATTTCAAAATGGTGAACTTGAAAAGGTTCAAAGGAGCAAGAAACTGAATTCCGAAGGCATGACACAAGCTTAACTCTGGTAACTGTGGTGTGGAAAACCAGTGATTCAAAAATGCGAATCAGTTTCTCACTCCCCCTCAATTTGCCTTGTTTGACTTGGATAATTTCCAAATCAGCCCAGGATGTATTTAATAAAAAAGAAAAAAGCTATGAACCAGAGTGAGTGATTCCAGATTTATTTAGCCTGGGATTGCCATTGCCCCAATCCAACGCAGTCGATTCCTAGATCGAACAGACCAGTAATGAAGACTGCGAGAGAGAAAATCAGAGACTGCCCTTCTTGCTCCATGTTTTTGTATTTCTCCCCATAAATTTACAAATTCCATAGGCACAGTGTTATCACTATTCATAGTAGTGTATAAACAAAGGAAATGTAGATAGTGTGCGACCATTACCCTTTCATAAGCCAAATAGAGAAGGTAATGGACACAGTAAAAACATCCCCTTTGATAAGTCACATAAACCCTTAACCATCAGATGTAAAATCAAACAGCTTATGTGCCATTCCTCCACAAAAGGTTCGGTGGAAAAGTTCGCTATCTTCGAGCACCATCAATAAGACACCCCCATCCACCCATTTTCACATCTGATGATCAAAGGTGATTGCAAACTTTTTGCCCCAAAGGTGAACGGTCTTATTGTATACTCATCTCAAGTAAAATTCTCACCTGGAAATTATGAAAAAATTGAAAATTTCTCTTCCTAAGGGACCATGTTATCATGATTCATACTGTAACCATTACAGTGAACTAAAAGCCTATCATCGCCCCCACAGTCCACACTTATTATAGACACGCAAAGCCCCGTCTGCACACATGAGCATTCTCTATCTATGTCACAGCCTCCGGCGCCGAGTCACAGTACGGCGTGTGTAAGCAAACAAGCCTTGTGCTTGCAAGACACAAAATCGCAAACACAGCCCCCAACCCCAAACCAAACACTGTCCTCCTACTATCCACCCTCCATGCACGACTGAGAACTCCCCAAAAACTTGGAACCAACCATCCACATGCAAATACCATAAACAAGTCCAACCCCTCATACCCGATCCCTGACACAATGGCCCCAATAGCCGATATAGGTCCAGCCAAACCAGCCAAAGCTGAAGCTAAAAGCGCAATTCTCCACCCATCAGTGGCCCCAAACACGCAGCTCGCGACCGCCATTCCTCTCGGTAATCCATGAAGAGATGCAGGCAATAGCATATGGCGCCCTAAACCATAGGCTTTAGGGGCAGCGACCCCCAAAGCTAAGCCTTCAGCTAGAGCATGAAGGGCTATAGTGCAGGAAGCCAAAAAAGCTTGTAATGTAGGGGCACTTAAGGGTAGAGAGAGGGTAGGGGCGTTTAGTGCATTTAGAGAGGCTTTGCGTTGAACTAATCGGAGAGAGGTGGTTGACGTGTGAGAGAGAGTAGAGCCTAGGGCAAGGAGAGATAGAGTAGGGAGGAGAGAGAGCTTGGAGGAGAAGAGGAGTTGGAGGGGGCGCCATGAGGCGAGGATGAAGGCGATGCCCGAGGAGAAGGCGGAGAGGAGGGAGTGTTGGAGACGAAGGGCAGTGGCAAGGGCGACGAGGGTGGCCCCCCCAAGGAAGGGGCCGAGGCCAAAGAGCAGGGAGACGAGAAATCCTGAGGCATGCTCTGAGCTGCATTCAAAAGAAAACAGATTGATTAGTTTTACTTGCACCTAATCAGAAACACAGGATGAGAGAGGGGGGGGGGGGGAAGAGAGAGAGCGAGAGAGAGAGAGAATGCATATTGCATTCACGAGAAAAAAGAAAAAAAATAGATAACATCAAGTTACATCAGACCACACAAACTCAAGAGTATTCAGTTGAAATCTACCACCTAGCAGTAGAGTTCAGTAATTCAGCTAGCAGTAGAGGGTGAGAGAGTTCATCAATTCAGCTAGAAGCACAGAGAGAGAGTTCAGAAATTTAGTTCGCCACAGAGAGAGAGAGAGAGAGAGAGAGAGAGAGAGATTCAGTTGAAATCCACCACCTATCGCGAGAGTTCAGATACTCAGCTAGCAGTACGCACACACACGGCTTGTTCAGGTAAAAAATATATGCATCCCAGTTATGTTGAATTTTTCTTTGAAAAAATTGAATTCATTGTGCTTTACAACCATAATCTGGTATGCTTGGATCAGTTCGAGAGGGTGAATTTCAGTTGTGTTGAATTTTAAACTGCCTTATCCTAATTGAGGCAAATTTTGGTCCTCAAGCATGACTCCTGACTTGTTGGAGTGGTTAAGGATTCAAAAGTTCCATTTCTTTGATAAGGATTCATTCCTTTTTTTTAAATAAAAGGTTCAAAGATTGCTACACATTTGGTGTGTTAACATCATCCTCCTGATCCCTAATTCAATCCTAATCTGCCTTCAATTTACAAACCTCCTCTCAATGGACAGGATGATAATGAGATCTCTCTCCTTCATTTTAAATAATATGCTACAATAACCTCTCCAATTCCCCAACACTAAGGGAGAAATTGGCAATAAAGTTGGTCCTTAAGCCAGTATATTCGATAGAATGGGCTTTCAAATAATGTTGTGCCCACCCAAAGAAAGAGAACATAACAGTCTGGATTCCAAAGAGACTTAATACTCTTTCATGTAAAAAAGAGGGCCTAAAATGTACAGTTGGTATTTGGCGAAACAGCAACACTCAGCCAGGAAAAGCCCGGTCCTGGACCACAAAATTTAGCCTGAGGGCTGGGCCAGGAAGTGCTGGGCCTGGGAAAGGGATCATGGCAGGTACAGTCAGGTCCAGAACGGTTTTTCTCCCTTATCTTTTTAAAATTTTCATTATGCCTGGCCTGGGCCAGGCCTTAGGGACCAAGACCATGCCCCGCCTGGGCCCGCGCTGTTGCCAGCCTTATGACTAACGGTCAAGGTAAGTAGCAGAATTGACCTTTAACTGAATAATTCACATTGCTAGAATGCAAATGAACTACAAGTCATCCACATAAAAGATCAAGGCCACCCATTTATACAAGACTCATGAATGGTTGTGCATATATATATATATATATATATATATATATTGTATCTGTCTTTATGTCTACTAGCTGCTACTGAGTATCTAAGATTCTATGATGAGAAGACAACTTTTCTTGGTATAGATTAGAAGACATGCCTGTAACCATGGCCAAATGATTGCAGAACTGTGCTGAGTGTTTCCATGAATGCCACGGCCAGTGTAGCAGCTGACGCAACTTGGGAAGGTGAAGCTTCCTGCAATCAAGAAAGAGACCATCAATCATAAATCTCATCAGATGAATTATACTTCACAACTCTTGTGCAACAAGGTACGTAAAAATACCAAACTGTTCCACCCTCTCTTCCACCCCAAAAGAGTGCAAACCACTGACAATTTCATAATTCCCCTTTCCATGAAATAAGAAAATTACCTTGAAAGCATCAGGGAGGACCTCTGCTATTACCATCCATATCATACATCCAGCAGCAAAGCCAGTGCAGAAAGGCAGGAATTTGTGAAATGCATCAGCACAGATGAAGGAGGGCACAGCTACCAAAGGCTAAAACACAACCACAGAAGGTATGGTAAGGAACAGAAAGTGATACAAATATGAAAATCTCTCTCACATGCACACACCAATAGGCAACATCATAGTCAATCCAGTGAAGACATAATTCAATACTTATTTAAATTTAACTTTTCATGGAAAGTGTATCGAAAAAGGGAAGGTACAAATATGTTATTGACCATAATTTATTTCAAAGATAAAGAAACAGGGGCGTAGAAACACCCAACCAAGCAGAACCATGCACCACAGAACAAGAATGTGTCCCATAGATAGTCCATGTCTTATGTATCATTTTATTGCAAAGTCGAGCAAAAGTGATACAGTTCCACAGGATTAAAAAGAAGACCTAAAGGGCGGTGAATTTCACCGATAATCAGCGTAACCATCATAATCAAATCATTGTAGAAAATAGTAAATATCCATGGAGTTTAGGAGAAAAATCAGCTAAAAATAATGTAGTATAAAGAAATTCTTTAGTGCAACAGAAAGTGTGGAAACTAACTAAACACCACAGAGAACGTCCTCGCATAAAAAAGATGTTCACACTTCCTCATTAGATAAAGTCCAGAAATGGTTTTTCTGACCCAGAAATTCATGCTCACAGATAACTTCATCGACATTTTCATTGCACATATTAAGATTTTTGACCGAATAAAATCAAGTAATCTATTGAGATCTGATTTTCTGAAACTAAATGAGGATGCCAACCAATGTAATTCAATAGTACAAATCAAACACCAAAGAAAGCACCAGTAAGACATTCCATTAGATTATCATTTGCTTTCCTTTTATAGACAAAACAATCACAGCCCATCATCAGGAAAGAAAGAATATTCATATGTTCCAAAGTGCACAACCATCAAGCCATACCCTCCCATAAAAACAAAAGAACCACACAAAGTGATACACATTGCATATACAGGTAACATAAGCAAGCAATTACCTGAGGTAAAGAAGTAATAACACTCCACAACATCGCATTCTGTGGAGAAACCCCTCTTGATGCAAGAACCATACTCACAGCTAATCCTTCAGGAATGTTGTGAACAGCAATAGCCAACGTGACAAGAACACCTTGAGAGAGCCCTTTGGAGCCAGCAAAGGAAACCCCAACACCAGAGCCCTCGCCAAAAGAATGAAGAGTCATTATTCCGATAACAAGAACAACCTTTCTGGCATCTGCGCCTTTTATGTCCAACATGCTTACTTCCCCATATTCTTCAAGGAACTGCACATAAAAGAAACGATAAATTTTCAATGAATGTGTACTAAAACCTGCAAATTCCACTACTGATCTCATCCTTGAAATCATGATTCAATGGCAAACCCTTGTACATCGTCTCAACAGTCAATACTCAAGATCCATAAAACATTGATTGATGAATAGGTCTAGCTTCATACTTCAAAGGTAAATTGAATAAATAAATAAATAAATAATTACACAATACAGTTGCTTATGCCCCAATTCCACCTTGAACCTAATATTTGTTCACCCATCAAAGCTCCCTCTATAAGGAACTCCAAGAAGTTCCCACTGCAAGAGCAATAACAAAACCTCCAACTTGTATTTCTCATCCACAAAGAACTTTCATAGTTCCATCAATTAATCAACTAAGTTAACAAATACACACATTGAATTCAAAATAATGATGGCTATATCATTCAGGGTCTGGATAAAGGATGATCACTTGTTGAACTTGAGAAACAAGTAAAATACATTCTGGACATAGTAAAATACACTCTGGACATACAAAAGTGTACTTGAATGAGGTAGACAGGAATTTTAGACATCCATGCACAAAATAACACCTTTAAATTTATGGGAATATCCAAAATCAGAACATGCAATAAAACAGAGTACGCGCTTCTATCTTAAACATCAGATAATGTGGCATCAGAACAGCTCACTGTCTATTTTCCTTCCAAACAATTCAGGCTTGATATCTAATTTAATTAAAAAATTAAAAAACAAGCAGCTAACTTTACAAAAAGTTGCATCTCTTAGGAGAAATAAAAAAAACAAGATTCAGGTTCATAAATAAAAAATAAAAGAGGAAACATAAAAAATGCAATTGGGGCCTCACCTTCTTGCAAACCCATATGAAAACTCCACCACTCAAGATCCCAAACACAACCCAATTGCCACCACCATACACCTGTCCTTCCTGCACAAGGTCAAAACTAGCAGCCAACATAACCCCTGCTGCTAACCCATTGCAAACACCTGCCCATTGAGGTTCCAACTCCACAAAAAAGAATGGCACTGCCCCTAATCCCGTTGCAGCTGCCATTGCCAATGTAAACCATGCAACCGTTGACACTGAAACTCTGCTATTTCGAGCTTTACCTTCTTCAAAAATATGGTTATCATCTTTTGACTCAATAAATGCAGCCTCTCTACCAGACCCATCGATGACAAGGCTCTCTAAGTTCCTAGAAGGTGCAGTCCCAATTCTCTTCCGAGAATTAGCTTCCAATAAACTTCTCCCACTGAATTTTTCAAAATCAGGATTGGCCATGGTTGAACCCCATGGAACTATTAGAACTACCCAAAGCAAAGCCACTGGTTTGAGCTGCCAACCCATAGTTTTTTTACTGAAGGCCAACCAAAATCCAAAGAATTATCTCTGTGATAACTGTTCAAGTAACTCAATTTCTTGCATTTGAGAAGGAAAATATGTGCAGTTGTACCTCTATCACACCGTGTAGAGGTGAAACCTTCTTCTCAAACTTTTTGAATGCCCAAAGAAATTAATGTATAAGAAAGACTCTCACTCGTTCATATTCAAGCTCATAACTCAGCTCAGAAAAATGCCCAATTGTCGAGTGATCATAACATACAGCCACAACTGCACCTTGGATAAATCCTCGAAACTCGTAAGTCAAAATTGTATCTTGTGTCGCAAAAACCCAAAGCCCAAATCACAATTGATTTCACATTCGCATATGACTCGTGGGCAAGCAAACTTCTCCTCTCTTCAATCAATGTTCATTGGTGATGGCAAACCTTTTCACGCCCATCTAAATGAACGAATAATTCAGTGTCGAATTACCAGAAAGGGTCATCTGACATAGATTTCAGGAGCCTGAAAGAAATTCCAGTAATTTCTGAGATTTGAGCAATAATTCAGACACCACCAAAAAAAATTTAACCAAATCCTTTTGTGGTTTCCAACTAGTGCCCCAAAATTCCAAATTAATCCAATTGAAGAGCTACCCAAAATTCATGCTGCCAAAACAAACACCATATCCATCAAAAGAAATAATAACTCATTAGGGTTCATCTGAACATCCAGCTTCTGCAAGCGAGAGAGAGAGAGAGAGAGAGAGAGAGAGAGATTAAAGCAAAAACTCAAAACGACCAATAAAGAGTCCAGATGTTTCAGAAACTAATCAAAAGAGTCCAGATTTTCCATAAACTAATCACCTTAACAGACTGCAGAGAAAACAATTATCATCAAAAACCTCAAATAGATGCCCTCCAACTCTGGAAATCCACCAAAATTAACCCAAAAACCAACTTTTCCAGGATAATTCAAATGGATAAAATCCCCATTTATCCGGAAACCCTGGAAAAAAGGGGCCTAACAAAATGGCAAGACCAGGAACCTGCTCTCAAAACATTTTAACTCAAACCCTAATTCTTGAAGAACAAAAATATATCGAAACAAGAATCCATATAAATCATAGCAAAGAATAAAACTACTCACCTGGTTTTGAAAACCAGCGGCTCTAGCGGTTTGCGAAAACCGCTTTTAACAATAAAACGGTTTTGCAACGGGTTTTGAAGCGAGGGGAGGGGAACACCAGTTTCTTGTGCGTTGAAAATGAGAATAAATGAGGAGAGGGGGTCAATCTTTGGAGCAAATCTTATCATAAAAATATGTACTGTTTTCTTTTCCCTGTCCAATTATGGGTTAAGTGAAAAAGCACATATACGCATATTAAGGGTGAATTGTTTTTTCCAAGAGGAAAATGCTCAAATAGGATTGCAGCCGTATTAAAATAAATAAAGTCTCCCCTCAAAATTCATTTAAAATTACAGCTCTGCCATCAAAAAAAATTCAAATCGATCTTCCAGTCTTAGACCATTACAATTTTAAAAAAATAAAGGATTTCAAGAGTCGATTTTTTTTAAAAAAAAAGGATTTCAATACTTAAAAAAAGTGTATGTTATAACATATTATCTTTTTTTTCTTTTTTTTTTGGTAAGTATACATCCTTTTTACATAAAAATGAGTATTGTACTATTTTTTTAGCTTCAAATTTGATATTTTGTATTGGAAGTAGATTTTAGAATCGTCCTGGAATTTGCTGATGCCTAAGGTACTTTCTGGACGAGGATTCAAAGTGAGGCTTTACTTCGTTTTCAAGCTTATAGAAATGGCATATTTTCAATAAGGTTGCAACCTTAAACAATCCAATTAAGGCGCACCTCCAAATTTTATTATAACACGTAATTTTGA